TTCAAATGAAATTGAATGCAAAAGGTGTAACACGAGTAACCAAAAGGAATTTGGTTTTCCCATTCAGGATATATACATGTATTATTTTTTTTTATTTGCGTAATTTTTCTTTCTTTTTGGAATTGAATATCTTTGAGAGTGTTTTTTATTTTGTTTATTAGTAACGGGCACCAGATGACAAGTAGGCCTAGGCTAATCTTCTTGAAGTGACCCGATAACCAGTTCTGTTGTTATGTACCCAGTTCAGATAAGCGCTGGCAGAGTCGACCCAAAATGTTTAAATTTATTTTCGTAATATTTTTGGGAGTGATTTTAACTCGTGATATTCGTATTTTTCTTCCTTTTTTGGAATTGAATATCTTTGAGAGTGTTTTAATTTCTTTACTGGTAACTTAATGTATATTCTTCCGGTAGCTTTTTTAAAAGCTTTTTTTAATTAAACGAGGTGATGTAGTTCAGAAGACATTCTAATCTTGTCAATTTCCTTTTGGTGTTTCCCTATCTAGTTATACCTGACTACAATAATTATAACTTAACCCAGAACCTATTTTTAAGGGTAGCAATCACCGATTCCATCTCTGACTGACTGTATTTTTAATTAAACGGTGGATGGGCCAGCCATACGTGCTTGGCAAACTTAGGGGGCGAGTTGGCTAGGGGGCGAGTCGGTCGGGGGGCGAGTTGGCGAGGGGCGAGTCGGCCAGGGGGCGAGTTGACCTACAATCCTGTAAGGCTAGCAAACTCACATATTTTTCCATGTTTGTTTGTTTGTTTTTGGTTTGTTTTCTTTTTTTAGGTCAGTGCTGAGGATCTAGGAATCAATGTTAAATTAATTCAACTAATGTAACTGTCATCAACATAAACTCTACTGGCCAAAGGTCACATGCACGAAACGTGTGCGGTTTCCTTTTGCTGAATGTGGCGTGTACAAGTATTGCATATGTACCTATGAAACGACTTTGTAAGTTGTATGGTATAGTATACGTATGGTACGTCTATGGTTTTACTGAAAATTGTTGTCTTTATTTCACTTTGTAAATGCAAGCAGATTTAAGGGCAAATTACAGAAGCAAGTGGGCTGGAAAGTCCCCAAAATTGCACCAGAGAGCAGCTAGACTCCTCAATTTTCCGGGGCCCTGGGGCGGGGCCTGATTCCCACACCGTGGCTTCGGAAAAGTTAATCACCTGACGGAGGATAGAAAACACTGGTGCCCCCCACACACCTTTTTTTAAACTCTCTGACGGGCCCGAATAAAAGAAAAATAGGATTTTAAAGATAATCGGAGAACGAAAGGAGGAAGAAAAAGATGAAAACAGAAGAAACCAGAATCTCCGACGAAAAAAAATGCAACGGGGAGGGGTGTAGTGAGCAGTGAATAAAATCACTAAAGTGTGAGGCGGCTGGGCGTCTACTGGGCTGCCCACAGCCGTCCACGAACAGCACCCGCGCAGTCAGCGTCTTGTCTTTGTGTGTGTCTGTGCCCCGCCCTCGCGTCCAACTTAAAGTTGAAGACTCACCTGCTGGCCACTTAACCCGGACTCCGGTGAGGAAGATTATCGACAAGTGCTACAAATACAATCATGGCCTGGCACTCTTTAGTGGGCAACTCTAAACTTTATCATAGACCCACTATCTTGGGCGTTAGAACTCCTTTTTCAAATTTTTACTAAATTTGCCTAATTCCTTATACTAAATTCCGAATTCAGTGGTTTCCTCTGTTTAATTAAGGAAAAGGTATGTAAAGTACACATTTATTTGTATTTCTTGCCATATTTGTTAAAAAAAAGGCCTACACATAGGCCTACTTTCTTGTGTTCTGGGCAGTATCAATGATTGTGCACAAAGTTACACATTTGATATAAATTAATCACAAGAAGTGATTTCTGTTTCATTTAAATGTTACTTTTTTGTACTAAATGACTTACAATTACATATTCATAAATTTCATGTGAAAAATAAATGGATATTTAATGAAACAAAAGATTTGACTTGACAAATAAATGACTAAACAATGAAACAAAAAGCCCTTTTGCCTTATGTAGTTGCCTGCTGCAAGGTCATTAGATTTGATGGTACGACGGTTTAAAACTGATTTACAACTTCAGGAATATTATGTTGTAGTTACAGAAAGTTTTAGAATCTGAAGGGATGTCTATTGAAGATGGATACTCTACAGGACTTTCCCATCCTTATTAAAAAGAGGAAAGTAGGTCTATCCATGTTATTATTCCATGCTGGGTTCCCTGGTCCTCTCTTTAATGTTGACTCCTGTGGAGACGTCCGGCAATATAGCGCGGTCAAAGTCCAACAAAGTTGTTTGAAGTGGTATCAAAGGTTATTATACTTTTCGCTGCAAACCTTTTCAGGTGTGCAATATGGCCAAGCTGCTAACGGATCAGCACAGTGGAGAGAGGGGCGTGTATGACTGTATCGTGGTGGGTGGGGGTGCCATAGGGTTAGGCACAGCCCTTCACCTGGTCCGACAGGGCTACCGGACTCTTCTACTGGAGCAGTTTTCCTTCCCACATACCCGGGGCAGCTCAGCGGGGCCGTCACGTATGTATCGCAATGCTTACATCGAGGAACATCACGCTAAGATGGTGCAGGAGATCTGGCAGATGTGGGAGGAACTAGAGCAGGAAACAAAGACAACGCTACACAAGTAAGTTAACTTTTGGAATAATACTTTTGGTTACTTATTAACCTTTAATTTATTTCATCCCAAGTGTTATATTCTGACATGAGTAGAAGCTAGTTGATATGGCCTAAAAGCAAACACAAACACAATATTCGCACCTCAAACTTGCATTAAGTTGAACGCGTGTTAACTTGAGCAAATTTCCGTTGCAACTCTTTTGTGATGTCAAATTGGCTTTGCTTTCACGTCGGCCTGTGGTACAGGTTTGCAGAAAATGTAGTGAACTTGCTGACCTGTTTTTGCCAGCCTCAGGGTTTATCGTGTGTGTATGGTATGGCACACCACAGGCATCACACAAGACCCTTTTAAATGGGGGGGGGGTGCCATCAATAAATTTACAGGAGTGTTAGGATAATGTGATTCCCAGACTCCAAAAATAATGACATGTACCCCCATTCCCCTTGTAATTTTGCAGGCAAAACTAAGTAATGCTATGGGGGGTTGGAACACTTCCCAAGTTCCTGCAATGCTCAAGTGAAATGGTCAAATCCAGTGTAGGCCTTACATGGGCTTCAGTCACATGACAGCTGTGGGGTTAATTCAAAGGTCAGCTTAGCCCAGCTTCATTTTTGGGGGCCTCTTTCAACAGAAGAACTGGACTGTTGGTGATCAATAACGAGAACGTGGCAGCCTTCCACCAGTTACGAGACAACCTGGTGAGGCATCGGCTGCCATTCCAAGATCTGACCACAGAACAGTTGGTCCGTCGATTTCCTCTGATGTCATACAGAGGCCATTACAACATCCTCCTAGACACAGAAGCTGGCTTCCTTATTGCCAACAAGTGCCTTCGTACAATGCTGGTATTTACTGCTCTGCCTTGAGCCAATGCTCTGTTTCTATGGTATCTTAGGTCCCTGCTGACGCTGGTCTCTTTTGATCAGTTGACGCATGGAGGAATAAAAACATGTTTTTATTCCTCCATGGTTGAAGGCAATGCACGTGTGGTCATCAAGGTCAGTACAGGCACTGATGGAGTGTGTGGCCATGTTTGAATCACTTGGCTACAGCTGTGAACAATGCAAATGGCTACTGTAGCCAATGGCTGGCAGCTGCTTCCATTTCCAACAGACCTGTGTTTAGGGCTGTGCCGAATATCCAGATATTCGATCGAGTATTATTTCTGAAATATTTGATTGTGCAAAATTCATGAAAACAAAGGGAGAATTTTCTTTTGTTTTAAATGAAAAAATTGTACTGTGGGGTCTTGTTTCAAGAAGATTCAAATGAAAAGTGACAAAAATCTCTATGATTCAAAAAGTAAATTACTCAATTACTCTCTAAATCTTCCAAAATCGTGGCTGGAGATACTCCAAGGTGTGAGAAGCTATTATAGTGATTATAATGTGCAATTGGGTGCGTTATTGCAACTGATTTAGTATATGGATTGTTCATCAACAATCCACGGGTCGGTACGACCAAATATTCGAATATCGAATCAAAGGACGAATATCTAAATAGTGAACTGTGTTGTTACGAGTCATAGCCACATAATTTGAGCATATTTTTGTGAGGTGCTGTACATTGCCAACATTAAAATAGTTTCTTAACAACTAATTTTTCTAGGATCAGTTTGTCAAGAAGGGAGGTACGCTGCATGACGGTGAGAAGGTTGTCAAGATTGTACCCCATCGGATGGTCACCGTGTGTACAAACAAGGGACATGAGTACAAGGCCGGAAGTCTCGTCTTGACTCCCGGGCCCTGGGCCCCTAAGCTTCTGAAGCCCCTTGGCTTGGATCTACCATTGAAGGCAAGATATGTTACCCTCAACACCTGTTCATGTTAGTCAAGGGACAAACTAAGGCAACTCGGCAGAGCTTGAAAAGAAGGTTGCTGATATTCAGGAGAGAGAAAAAAGTTCTCCTTTGAGTAGTGCACCTAAACAAGTTACGGTTGTCTGCAGTTTTCATTGGTCCACATGTCCAAAGTAAAATGGTTTGAGAAGGGTGTTTTTGTTGAGTTTTGCAATGATGACAGTGAAAGATGCCAGCCATTTTGCCGTAAAAACACTTTTATTACATATGTATTTCTTCACAATATGTACTGAATAGCAGACATACATGTAAAATCAGTAAATCTGAAAATTGTACACAGATTAACTAAAGCTAAAAGAATTTCGTGTATTAGCAAAAATCTTTTATATTCTACCAGGAGATTATTGAGGAGATTGAAGGACTGAGGAAGGTAGAACTTTACACAGACATTGATGGAGTATGTCAAAGAAAGTACCTCTTTTTTCACAAAAGTTATCCGACACAAGTGCTAGGAGCTTGGTTAAGATTTACTGTTGTAGAGAAATTTAATCCATTCGAAAGAACTCAACGAATTCACCCTTTCTGACAGGTGTGGAGAGTGAACGTCTGTTTCTTCAAGGAAAAGCAGCCTGGCTCTTACCTAAACTACCCAGCGATGTTTGACGAGACGAAGGACGGATTCATATATTGTTTCCCAAGCCGTGATTATCCAGGTTACATGAAGGTTAGCTGGGTCCTGATTGGGTGTAGATCCGTGGAAGAGGGAATGCAGGCAGACGAGAGAGAGGATGGAATGTGGTCAACAAGAATGGCAAGAGATTACCATAGAAAGGCGATGTTTCATTGTGCATTGTGGGAAATCATGGTCAGCAAATGCGATTGGAGCAAGTCATGTTCCCATTTTATTTCCGATTTCAACAATCTGTTTCTTCGTGGCACCATGCCTGGGCAGTGGCGTATCCTGCCAGGATGGGGTGGAGCAAGTTACTCCAACCACCCAGAGATATGGTTTTATTTTTATTTGTTTTAACATTTGTCAAGGAATTGAAAACAGGCAAACTTTTGAAATGTTACTAGTACTTTTCTTGTGGTGGTGGTTTCGTATTTTGGATTTTAAAAAAAATGGGACCTCTGAAAAGAAATCCCAGTTCCCCCCCCCCCAATCAAAACCTGGACGCGCCTCTGTGCATGGGCGTTTATTCCCATATGAGTGGATGGGGCGACTCCCGGAATGTCTCAGTGGAACACTGCAAGGCTTCCTAGGTTTTGAGAGACACTTCTTGCCGCAGTGAGCGAAATGTGACTCATTTGGGTTCCTTTTGTTTGAATCACCAGTTTGGTTATCATCTTCAGTGGGACGAAGTAGACCCAGATGACCGAGACCGACCAGGACAGGCCGGGGGGAATAAACTGATGGTGGACATTGAGGCGATGAAAGCGTACGTTCAGGAACACTTCCCGGGTTTAGAGCCAGAGCCGTCCATCGTTGAGAACTGCATGTACACAGTGAGTCCAATTTCCACCAACAGAAACCCCTCAATTTTTGGTAGTATCATAAGGAAGGAAAAACAGGATTTTAGGGTTTTTTAAAGTGATATCATGCATAGAAGTTGATGCCAGTTATGCCAAAAGTGTAAAGTGAATGTTTGCATCAAATTCTTATTCCTTTTACCCCTTCGTGCCAGGACGCGGGTAGAGCTGCCGTAAAAATCTAGATCCTCAGCCCGCTTTTCAGCTATTATTCTCGGCCCACACTCGAGTGAACACGGTG